CAAACAATCTAGCACTTGCTGATAACAGAAGCTTCTAGGCCAGCAAACAATCTAGCACTTGCTGATAACAGAAGCTTCTATGCCAGCAAACAATCTAGCAATTGCTGATAACAGAAGCTTCTATGCCAGCAAACAATCTAGCAATTGCTGATAACAGAAGCTTCTATGCCAGCAAACAATCTAGCACTTGCTGATGACGTAACAAAAGCTTCTAAGCCAGCAAACAATCTAGCAATTGCTGATGACGTAACAGAAGCTTCTATGCCAGCAAACAATCTAGCACTTGCTGATGACGTAACAAAAGCTTCTAAGCCAGCAAACAATCTAGCAATTGCTGATGACGTAACAGAAGCTTCTATGCCAGCAAACAATCTAGCACTTGCTGATGACGTAACAGAAGCTTCTATGCCAGCAAACTATCTAGCACTTGCTGATGACGTAACAGAAGCTTCTATGCCAGCAAACAATCTAGCACTTGCTGATGACGTAACAGAAGCTTCTATGCCAGCAAACTATCTAGCACTTGCTGATGACGTAACAGAAGCTTCTATGCCAGCAAACACTCTAGCACTTGCTGATGACGTAACAGAAGCTTCTATGCCAGCAAACAATCTAGCACTTGCTGATAACAGAAGCTGCTATGCCAGCAAACACTCCAATAGGGGCCAGTGTTTATCAGATCGGTACTTTGGAGCTGTAGCTCATAGTCTTTCATAGTCTTTCATTCAATATGTGTGTGCCTAAATGTATTTTCTAGCTTTTCTTTCTTTCTCTTGCCTAATCTTTCTGCCTATAACTGCTACTTTTTTGTTTATTTCTATTCTCTATAAGTACATACTTCATTCGTTCATTCATGATTTTATTCAATCATCCATTTATTTTATAAATGTATAAATTTATGGAAACCTTTATTCATCCATCTATTCAATTAGGTTACAGATGTATCCATTAGTTTGTGATTTTATTCTGTCTTCCATTTATGTAATGTATTGATTTTATTGATTCGTGCAATTAATATTTGATTGGTTTATTCATTGACTCACACATTTTTGTTAACAATCTATTCAAGTCCATACTTTCCTCTCATACTCCTCCATCGTTAGTTTGTCTATGAATTAATTCAATCATTCACTTTGTCGTTCATATTATATTCATTCAGAAGTAAACCATTTCAACTATTAGATATTCCGTTTGCTTATCAACACACTCAAACCGCTCAGGCATCCATCCATTCATGTGGCAGTTACTCCATCTGTCCCACCCATTCTTCACATGTTCATTCACCGAATCATTTATCCATCCGGTCGCCATTTCTTGACGAGACCAAAGCGCGACTTCCTGGAGTGTTCTTGGGGCGGTCAGGGAAATCTTTCTCAAGAAAAAGCTGACTTTGGTTATCTCCCGTCAGATAATGACACTAGTGCAAGTTCTTGAACCATGGACCTTCACTTTTCTGCAAGGTATTTCTCTTGAACCATGTCCATTCACTTTGCTGACAACAGTCCTGACTAAACATCTGGGGGAGAAGCCTGAACCCAACAGTCAGCCCTCACGTGAACAGGAGGCGTTCTACTCAACAAAATGGTTCTACCAGTCGCGGTTGTTGACACTTGTTTTCAGACAGAAAGAGGGAGAGAGAGAGAAATAGAGAGAGAGAGACAGAGAGATGGAGAGAGAGAAAGAGAGAGAATGAGTGAGAGAGAACGAATGAACGAACGAACTCTTATTTTCAAGGGGTCACTCACTAGGCATGCAGACCTGTCACACATTCGGCCCTTCCAAACAAACATATTTCACACAGCAGTTGCATTTTATCAATAAAGCATGTTATCATCATATAATAAACAGCATATTATTAAAATCAAGAAAAAAACACAAAAGCATGGTTGGTAAAATGCGTGCATACACTCGCGCGCGCACACACACATCCGCATACAAACGCCCATCCCCTCACTTACACTCAAGTATATACACACCCACACACATACTCACATACATACACACACATATACAGACAACATGCATAAACGCATACATACATACATACATACATACTAGCATGCATACATACACACATATGCACACACAGAATGACCACAGACATACACGCAGAAATACACAAACACTCATTCGCACACCCAAACACACACACACAAACACATACAGATACATACCCACAGACATACGCAGACACACACACACACACACAGTCAGACACACACGCAGACAAACACACACGCAAATAAACACACACAAAGTCAAACACACACGCAGACAAACACACACGCAAACAAAAACACACAGTCAAACACACACGCAGACAAACACACACGCAGACAAACACACACGCAAACAAACACACACACAGACAAACACACACACACAGTCAAACACACACGCAGACAAACACACACAGACAAACACACACAGTCAAACACATACACAGTCAAACACACACACAAACAAACACACACGCAGACAAACACACACGCAAACAAACACACACAGTCAAACACACACGCAGACAAACACACACGCAAACAAACACACACACAGAAAAACACACACACAGTCAAACGCAGACAAACACACAGAGACAAACACACACACAGTCAAACACACACACACAGACAAACACACACGCAGACAAACTCACACACAGTCAAACACATACACAGTCAAACACACACACACAAACACACACACAATCAAACACACACACAGACAAACACACACGCAGACAAACACACACAGACAAACACACACGCAAACAAACACACACAGACAAACACACACACAGACAAACACACACAGACAAACACACACACACACAGACAAACACACACAAACACACACAGACAAACACACACACAAACAAACACACACAGTCAAACACATACACAGTCAAACACACACAGAGACAAACATACACGTAGACAAACACACACGCAGACAAACACACACACATTCAAACACACACACAGTCAAACACACACGAAAACAAACACATACAGACAAACACACACACAGTCAAACACACACACAGACAAACACATACACAGACAAACACACACGAAGACAAAAACACACAGACAAACACACACGCAGACAAACACACACGCAAACAAAACACACACAGACAATTACACACACAGTCAAACACACACAGAAAAACACACAGAGACAAACACACACGCAGACAAAAACACACACACAGTCAAACACACACACAGACAAACACACACACAGACAAACACACACGCAGACAAAAACACACAGGCAACCACACACGCAGACAAACACACACGCAAACAAACACACACAGACAATTACACACACAGTCAAACACACACAGACAAACACACACAGACAAACACACACAGACAAACACACACAAACACACACAGACAGGGAGAAAGAGATGCTGGTACAATTAGCACCGATAATAATAATAATAATAATAATAATAATAACGTGTTGATTACAGCAAAGATTATAATCAATAATTATGTTTACAGTGATTATGAGAAGCAGACACCTCTGTGGCCGTGGGTTAGTTCGCCCACTTTCAGCCGCCTCTGTGACCGTGGGTTAGTTCGCCCACCTTCAACCGCCTCTGTGGCCGTGGGTTAGTTCGCCCACCTACAGACGCCTCTGTGGCCGTGGGTTAGTTCGCCCACCTACAGACACCTCTGTGGCCGTGGGTTAGTTCGCCCACCTTCAGCCGCCTCTGTGGCCGTGGGCTAGTTCGCCCACCTTCAGCCGCCTCTGTGGCCGTGGGTTAGTTCGCCCACCTACAGACACCTCTGTGGCCGTGGGTTAGTTCGCCCACCTTCAGCCGCCTCTGTGACCGTGGGTTAGTTGGCCCACCTTCAGCCGCCTCTGTGGCCGTGGGTTAGTTCGCCCACCTTCAGCCGCCTCTGTGGCCGTGGGTTAGTTCGCCCACCTACAGACGCCTCTGTGGCCGTGGGTTAGTTCGCCCACCTTCAGCCGCCTCTGTGGCCGTGGGTTAGTTCGCCCACCTACAGACACCTCTGTGGCCGTGGGTTAGTTCGCCCACCTACAGACACCTCTGTGGCCGTGGGTTAGTTCGCCCACCTTCAGCCGCCTCTGTGGCCGTGGGCTAGTTCGCCCACCTTCAGCCGCCTCTGTGGCCGTGGGTTAGTTCGCCCACCTACAGACACCTCTGTGGCCGTGGGTTAGTTCGCCCACCTTCAGCCGCCTCTGTGACCGTGGGTTAGTTGGCCCACCTTCAGCCGCCTCTGTGGCCGTGGGTTAGTTCGCCCACTTTCAGCCGCCTCTGTGACCGTGGGTTAGTTCGCCCACCTTCAGCCGCCTCTGTGGCCGTGGGTTAGTTCGCCCACCTACAGACGCCGTTATCCAGGTACTGATCCCATTAAATACCCAACTAAGATTACACACTTAAAGAGAGAAGAACGTAAATAGAAAAGAACGTAAACAGACAAGACTGCGGCCAATACATCACAGCTAACTAGGTAGTGTTAGGCTCAAAGTTGTCTGCCGGCTCGAAGGTCAAGGCTTCAAGTTCACTTCGAGACACATTAGTTCAAAACTGGCCTTGGCTTCAAGGTCGACCCAGCCTAAAATAGATTCCGCCTAAAGTCCTGGGAAGTAAAGGCGGGCGGAGTAATGCTGCAACGTCACGCATCCAATGCTGATTTATTTTGGAAAAAAAAAAAAAAACACAGATTCGCGCGTGTGATTACAAATTTGCATGTGTTGATTCCGCCAAGAAGACTCCGACAGTCAACTGAGTCGATCAAAATATCTACATTTAGTGCGTGAACAACCCCTGTCCAGTGGAAGTCGAGAATCGTTCTTTATATATCCCTGCATGAACAACCCCTGTCATTAAAAGTAGAGAATCATTGTTTATATATCTCATTGAGGCTAGCCCCAACCCTGGGGGGGGGGGGGGGTCAGTGACCCGGTATCACTGGAATATAGCAACAATGAAGAACAGCCGTTTTTCTGACCTTCTATGAATCGCCCAATAGAGCTCGAAGTTCTGCCATCAAGCCGAAGCCAAAAAGCAGAAACATTTGCTGGATAATTTCCACACACAATGTCCTTGACCGCTGTCGCTCTGTGACCTCGAGGACAGCCACGTACATGAAGGTCCCCACAGCAAACGATTGGAGACATGCTGGTATCATAGAGGTCCCGCCATTTCCTGTCTGCTCAAACATTTGTTGCATGAAACTGCCGCTGACCAAAACTCCAACAGGCGATGACAGGGCGAACAGAAGCACAGACACACAGGTGCTGAGAGGGGAAGTGCTCTTCTCGCCCATACGTAGCAAACTCAGTGATAGTCCTACACACACGAAGCTTTTGTGCAAGGAGATAGCAAATGCTAACGACAGAACAACAGATACCGACGTCTGCAGACCAACGACGATGCCATCAAAGAACCCATGAACACAAAGAGCCGCTACCAGAGCTGCAGATCTCAGGTGCTTCGACTGTGTCGACTCCTGCGCTTTGTTTGCGGTGGTTCGTGGGCCTGGGGGAAACATGGTCGAATCTCTCTCGGATATTCTAACATCTGCCACGGAATCTAACGGCCCATTGGGTAAAGTGGTGTTCACGCAGTCGGGGTCTGTACTGTCTAGTTCTAAGATGGCAGGAAGCCGTTCCTCTCCGGCCTCTCCGTCCGTCTGCCCAACTTTTGTGTAAGGCACTGTTGATCTTGGCATTTTGAAACTAACTGCCGCCAGCATGTGGTGCAGCTGTGAGAAGATATGTCCATGTCTGCGCCCAGAGCCTCGCTTATTCTGGCAGCAATGAGCGTCTCGTGCTTCTGTGTTTTGGTCAGAACTGGATTCATCTGGTGTCAGAAACACAACATCCTCGTCTACGATCTCACTCTCAATGTAATCAGTTGTGGCCCTTTCTTTGGAGCATGATTTCAGTCCATTGTCCAGCATGTAGACGGCGATGAACCCTAAAGCCACCAGCAGCTCAGCTACCGGATAATTATCTGTGTCTAAATCCTCCGCAGAACTTTCATTGTCTGTAGAATTGAACCTGCCCCTTCCAGCATGCTTGCTGGTATTCTGTGGAGGGCTGGAGCTGATTGCCTTCTGGAAAGTTTCCAAACTCTCTGGGAGCAGGTGAATCAGACACGTCCCTATGAGAACGCCAGAGGCCAGAGAGTACAGGCACTGAACAAGTAACATTGGTTGCCCAGCACCGGGATGTTTTAGAGTACATCCCCGCCTCCGTAAGTACCATCTGATGGCACATAGTGGCAAGAATGAGAAACACACGGCAACAAGGAAGAACACAGAACCGGTGAGAAGTTTAGCACCAGTGATGTCCATCTTGACAAGTATTCAGTTGTCTTCACGAAATTCTTTCTTGCACTTGAAACTTTAATCTGACTGGTATTCCGTGAGCGAAGACGCTATAAGTGACACGTGCGCTGCCAACTTTACACAATTTAATAACTGACGTGACAGATCTGGGAAATTAATTAAATAATTGGCACCTGAGATTTTCCCCAAGGTGTACACAATAAAAGCGAATGCTGTACGCGGACTGTTGGACTGTAGACGCTAAAGAAGTTCCAGTGTATGTGTCTGACCTCAAACAATCAGGAGAATCAACCCCAGAGAGTGTGTTCACATTCGACACAGACGCGCATGAGATTCCTTAGACAGGTAAGTCTGGACCCGTTCTATGTGCGTCCACTTCTGTAGGATGCCACAACTTGATTGTCTTTTCAAATAGTACATACAATAATACAGTTGGTTTCAGGTCATGAGCTTCCGCCTGTAGAGCTGGGGCACGTTGTGGCCTGATATTTTGTGTCAATACCTGATAGCTGGGGATGGTCAACTAACAACAGACCTTACAACTTCGGTCGGAGGAATTGTAATTATCACCCCTAAAACAGTGCGGTAAATGTTCACTGTTGAGTCTTCGGTTACCTGACTAAATCTGCAGTTATCCCGCATGAACTGGCTGTTGGTTGCAGTTATCCCGCATAAACTGGCTGTGGGTTGCAGTTATCCCGCATGAACTGGCTGTGGGTTGCAGTTATCCCGCATGAACTGGCTGTGGGTTGCAGTTATCCCGCATGAACTGGCTGTGGGTTGCAGTTATCCCGCATGAACTGGCTGTGGGTTGTCTGTCTCAAGTGGTCTCACCAAGGAAAGTGTGTGTCTTGAACTCCAACAACACTCCGAGAGTTGTCGAGAAGCTAAACGATACATTTGTTAGACGAACAGAGACTGCGGCTACTTGAGGAAATAGGTTACTTGTCTTGTACAAACGTAAAGAAAACACAGTAACCGCTTGAGAGCGTAGTTATAACTGTATTTGTATGAACCACTTACATTTCTATCGAAATCAAGAAGCCACCATGTAGTCCAACAATTGTTGCTATTTGTGATAAATGCATTAGAATTTTAGCTTTACCAGCAGACGGCGTCTATTGCTAATGTCGGCTGCCAGATGACAGTCAGGTGAAGAACTTATCGTTATATGCCGACAAAGTACTGTCAATGCTTGCGACCAACTTTCGAGAGCAAAAGTGCTTTGTGTGACAAACGTTGGCGAGCAGAAGTTCTAGACAGTGGGTGCTGGCACACTTTGGCGAGCAGAAGTTGTTGACAGTGGGTGCTGGCACACTTTGGGAAGCAGAAGTTCTTGACAGTGGGTGCTGGCACACTCTGGTGACAAAAGTTCTTGACAGTGGGTGCTGGCAAACCTCGGTGAGCTGACGCACTTCTATAGCGCCTGTTTTCTAGGTTCACAGACTGGAGCATGCGGTAATCCAACATGACAGACTTCATTAGAAAATCCAGAATGGCAGACTTCAGCAGCTGCTGTTGGATGAGGTTGCACTGTTTCAGGAGAAGACATTCACAGAATCCCTGGCCATGTGATTAGGTCGCAGTCCGGCTCTGGAGTGACCTTATATTCCGGCAGCCCGGATCTATGGCACAAACAAGACCAGACAACAGAGCTCGGGGACAGGGGCGCCTACACAGGCAACACCGGGTCCGGGGGTACAGACCATGTATAGCTAATTTCAAGGAGGGTAAGCCTTGTTAAGTGAATAATAATAATTAAAAATGTACCTTATGTCAGACGATATAATATATTTTGATTAATACGAATCGTGAAATCATCTACTTAAAAAGAAACTTCCCATGTATGACTTGGAAAGGGACGTATTGGAAGGCGGGAGGGGGATGTCGATTAGTTCGTTAGTCCACTTCTTCCTAAACGCTTATATATATATGGTGGTGGGGGGGGGGGGAGGAGTTAATAAAGTGCATAAACCTCCAACTTGCCGCGCCCCAGCTCGGGGCCTCACGGATGTAATGTGATGTTGATCAGAAGACAAATCAGTTTTCGAGTTGCTCTATTTCTCCGCTCGGTTACATTGAAAACATCCGGGTGCCTGTCCTAGAGCTTCAGATCAAGTTTCTACGTTTGACAACAATCTACCGCTGCGTTCCCTTGACTCTAGCACTACAGCTGTCCCATGGTGAGAGGTACTTTTCCATACGTATCTTTAACCATTCAAGCCTGTCGGATAAACAATGTACAGTATTTGACGTCCCTTTCTGGAGGTTACAGTCTCGTCGTATAACCAGATTTGCGCTTGAAAGCATTCTGTTTATGGTTACTTCTAGGATGCTTACATTATATGTACACACATACAATAAGAGCGCCAACGACAGGGGAAGTTACAAAACCTGAGTACATACAACAAATATAACTTTTTTGCTGAATGAAAAGCGAGGCAGAGTAATTATGTGTGACGGTACTAGTGACGTTTTTCACTTCAAACAAACACTGGTTGGTCTTTCATTCATTCTTGCTGACCTTTCACACCCGCTAGTCTATGTTTCAGGAGTGCCAACTTGTGTTGTCTTCCAAACTCTCAGCGGCGATGTTGCGTGTTGTAAAATACACGATCTCAACACTTTTAATGATCCCAGAACATCTAGAACTGGCCCTAACTTCAACTCCGCCCCACCCCTCCACCCCACAGCTTCCGCCTACGTCCCACGAGAGACTGCAGCCTACGTCCCACGAGAGACTTCAGCCTACGTCCCACGAGAGACTGCAGCCTACTTCCGGTGGTTTAAAGGTAAATTAATGTCGTACTTGAAGTTTGACATGGCTTTAAAATGCGCAGTGTGGCCGCCCGCTCTAAATATACATATATGCATACAAACATAAATGCATATACACAGACACATGCATACATGCATACATCCATGCATCCATTCATCGATACATACAGACACATACACACACACCCACACACACATCCATGCGTGCGTGGATGTGTATGTGGGTGTGTGTGTATGTGTCGATGAATGGATGCATGGATGTATGCATGTATGCATGTGTCTGTGTATATGTATTTATGTTTGTATGTATATATGTATATGTAGAGCGGGCGGCCACACTGCGCATACATGCAAACAACAAATAAACATACATACAAACATACCTCCGGTCAAAATGAACGCTAGGCATGGCCACTGTTTTGAGCCGTGGCAAATTGTGTGCTTCTGCTGGACGGTGGCCGTTGCATTTTTGCTCCATTTGTAGACTGAAAGGATATAGTTTCGTCGCCCAGCTTCTGAGTTGAGTGCATGACGTGACACTGTGAGCTGTTGATTTCATTTGGAATGTTTTTCGACTGTGACCAACATGGCGTTGTGTTGTGAACTGTAGATTCAGAAAATGGCGCGATGCTTGTCGTCGTAATATTAGTAGTGCCATTATGTGATTAAAATCGATCGCGTGTGCAACTACTGATCTATACAGCGGCGCCGTTCGGAACAGAGGCAAATTTTTTGCTTCTGCCGGACGGTGGCCGATGCATTTTTGCTCCATTTGTAGACTGGATATAGTTTCGTCGCCCAGCTTCTGAGTTGAATGCATGGCGTGACCCTGTGAGCTGCGGATTGCATTTGGAATGTTTTTTTTCGACTGTGACCAACGTGGTGGTGTGAATTGTAGATTCAGAAAATGGCGCGATGCCTGTCGTTCAATGCTTGCGGGACCCGTATTAAAATTGATCACGCGGACAACAGCTGATCTGTTGACGACAAGTTCTGCTATCATCAATGATGAACTGAATTTCTAATGTTGGACTGTTTGTGTTAGCACTTCGGATGTCTACCATATGCTTTAATGCGAGTGTATGCTAGATATGCTGAGACAGCAGTCTGTCAATCTTCCCACAAGGGACTGTGATAGACATTCTGAGTGTTTTTCGCTGGCACAGGAGCGGAGCAAAGATGGGGCAACCCGTTTGCTATGAAGCTGAAACTAAGACTTCCAGTCTACCAGACTACCAGACTACTGATCTGTTGGTGACTTCTGCTACCATCCATGATGAACTGCATTTCTAATGTCGGACTGTTTGTGTTAGCACTTCAGATGGCTACCGTATGCTTTTAATGCGTGTGTATTCTAGATATGCTAAAAACAGCAGTCAGTCAATATTTTCACAAGGAACTGTGATAACCATTCTGTGTGTTTTCCGTTGGCACAGGAGCGGAGCAACTATGGGTTGACCAGTTTGCTATAAAGCTGAAACTAAGATTACCAGATACAGGCAGACAGACAGACAGACAGACAGACAGACAGACAGACAGACAGACAGACAGACAGACAGAACAAACGAACGAACGAACGAACGAACTTTATTTTCAAAGGGTTACAAATTAGGCACGCAGGCCTGTCTTGCATTCGGCCCTTCCAAACTTCCATCTTTCACACAGCTGTTGTATTTCATCAATGTATGTTATATTCATGTAATAATATGCATATTATATATATGAAGTCAAAAACAAAAGCATGGCTGGTAAAATATGTACGCACGCTCACGCGCGAACACACATCCACATACACACACAAGCCCAATGACTCACTTACACGCAAACATATAGGCACTAAGTACACACATACATCCACATACATACGAACATGCACACACACACACACACACATACACAAATACACACACACATACACAGACAGACAGACAGACAGACAGACAGACAGACAGACAGACAGACAGACAGACAGACAGACAGACAGACAGACAGACAGACAGACAGACAGACACTCATACACACGCTCTAAAACACACACGCATACAATCCAGACACATACAGACACACACACATGCAGTCACGGGCACACACACGGGGACACATACACACACGCAGGCAGGGAAACAGACACACACATTGACATACGCAACACCCACACATACACAGATATACACACACAGACACGCACAGTCAGACATACGCACACAGAGGCATAACCTGACACAAGC